GACAGATGTGATCTGGGTGGAGCAGTGGCCTATTATAGAACCTAAGCTATCCTCAAAAATTTGGTCCAGGAACAGCTGGACCTCGCACATTTGGAACCATCCACTAGTAAATATAATACTCCAATATTCATTATAAAAAAGAAAAATGGCCGTTTTAGATTGTTTCAGGACTTACATGCCATTAATGACCAAATGGAAAAAAAGGGCTAAACACAGGCTGGCTTGCCCCACCCTGGCGTTATTCCTCCTTCTTATTATATCATAACACTTGATATTAAAGATTGCTTCTTCTCAATCCTGCTAGCCCCCCAAGATTGTGATTACTTTGCCTTTATGAACTTCCACAAGCTGGCCCTCAGATATGAATGGAAAGTCCTTCCCCAGGGAATGAAAAACAGTCCTACTAGTTGTCAGCTTTTTGTCTCATGAGCCACTTCAACCATCCCTCATAGTGTACAATTTATTCACTATATGGATGACATTCTGTTGTCCCACCCTAGCCCACAATTTCTCCGCAAGGTAACCAGAGACTTACTCTCCCATCTATCATCCCTTGGCTTATCTATTGCCTTAGATAAGCTACAGGAGGTGTCTCCTTATGCCTTTTTGGGGCATACCATTTTGGCCAGCATACGCCCTATGGCCCCTGCCTTTAATTCAAAGCTGGTCTATACACTAGCCGATTTTCAACAACTCTGTGACAACATAAATTGGCTTAAACCATTCTTGCCCATTCCCTCGGAGGAATTGAGGGTACTGTTTTCTGTCTTGGAGGGCCCCACCTGCCCTTCAGCAAAGATTAACGTAACTCCCCCGGCCATTGCCTTATTACAAAATATCACTGGGTTAAGATACGAGCCTTACAATCCCTACAGGCTTTAGTGCTATTGACTTCTTCTGGCTTCCTTAGTGCCCTTTGGCAGACTGGCTCACTTATCTGGGTCCATCTCTCATACTCGGAGCTCCAGCAGGTTTCCTCCAAGTTTAATCTGGCCTTTAGCTTGGCACACTCAAGCTCAAAAAAACCTTCAATAAAAAACCTGACACTATTGTGCTCCCCTTTCCCCTCCATAACCTACAGGCACTCTGGGCCAATTACATAAGTTTTCAGACCATGATGTCAGACTTCCCTGACACCACTGACAACCACCTGCCCCAAGACAAAAAAATTTAGGCCCTTTTCACATTGCCACTTAAAGTTAAGCCCCACAGCACTCCTTCTTCTTCCCCAATTCCCCAAGCAACCACTGCCTTTTCAGAGGCTAATAAAAAGAACTTTGGGGTCCTGATACATCATCCTAAAAAAAAGGATATCACCCACATCATCCCTAATCCTGGCTCTGTCCAGTTGGAAAAACTTCTTACTATACTTAAAGCTTTAGCAGAATGCCAGGACAAATCCCCAAATCTCTTTTCTGATAGCACCTATGCTGTTCAGGTCGCTAAGGTCATTGCCTTTTCTCATGTTAAAAACTCCTCCACCCTACTCCACCTCACTATGGTCAAGCTATGAAAATGCTTAAAAAATAAAAGTCACCCATAATACATCTCACATATCTGATCACATACTGCCCTTCCCAGAATCCTAACTCAGGGGAATGCCTCCACAGATGCCCTGATCATGACAGTCCAGTCTAGCCTGTTAAAACAAGCAAGAACTTTACATCAATTCCACCTGTCCCCTCAGAGTAATCATAAACTCCTCCCAAAAATCCCCATGTCCCAATGCAAGCACCTTGTCCACTCACGTGCTACTTGTGCCCCGCTCATGCCTCTTGGGCCCCTTAACAGGGGAGGAGTGAATCCCTGTGGTTTGATACCCAATGCCATTTGGCAAATGGATGTGACTCACTACCCCCCTTTTAGAAAATTGAGATTCGTTCATGTTATAGTTGACACATGCTCCTCCCTTACTTATGCTTTAGCTCTCTCAGGGGAAAAGACTATACATGCCATTAAAGCTATAAAGTCCGCCATGTTAATCATGGGCATACCCTGGGCACTGAAGACTGATAATGGGCCCACTTATTCCTCTCCATAATTCAATAAATTTGTTTCCTCCTCGGGATTCAA